GCTGCAACTACTACCACCACCCCAACAACTTCTCCCACACAACTATTCCCAAGAATACTTCTGCAACTGCAATGTACTAATACTATAATTGGCAATAATAATAGTAATAATAATAATGATGATGATGATGATGATGAGGATGATGATGAGGATGAGGATGAGGATGAGGATGAGGATGATGATGATGATGAGGATGATGATGAGGATGAGGATGATGATGAGGATGATGATGAGGATGAGGATGAGGATGAGGATGATGATGAGGATGAGGATGAGGATGAGGATGAGGATGAGGATGAGGATGATGATGATGATAATAGTATATTTTTGAATATATTACTTCACGTGAGGCGTCTTATTGGTTGTTACATAGGTGTCAGTGTTAATACAAGTTTATGCAACCCTGAATCTGTTGACCGCGCACAGATACAATGTGCACCCCCATTAGGCGACATCAAGCGTTCACGTCTAAAATCGAGAGAGCTTTCAACGATTCAATAGCCGTCAATCCCCTTATGAGAATACGCGACGCGCGAGTGCAGCGAAATTAGCGAGTCACTTTTCAATGTAGTTCGAGACAAAAAAATCGCCCAACACCATGAGGCTAGCATGTGGACTAATGTCAGACACGTGATAAACACCGTCGGCATCTGTCTGTGCACCGTGGTGTGAGATTAGTTTCACATTATCACACTCAGTGTGTTTCCATTAGATTCACTCGACGCCGGGATTAACATGGAATCCTGACTATAATCTGTCTATAATCTGTCAATTTACGTAGCCAATTATAACATTGAGAATAACAGCTTACATCCTATATGTAGAAAGTGAAACGTCAACGACGGAGCAAAATCAGTCTCGATTATGTGCCGAAATAGATTCCATTGGTGGCAAAAGATACAAAAGAGGTAAAAAAGTGAGAATGGATCACTGAAAATCAGTGACGACACAGGTGTTCGAGAAATGGGTTCGCATGGCCTGCTCTACCTGTAGCACCCGCATATGTTTGTTGGTTTACGCCGCTCAGCTGTACTCCTGCCACACGACGGTGGCCAATCAATAACCGGCCAGACAATCCAGTGATGGAACAGACATTCTGGGGGACGTTCACTGATTTTGTGAAAGATAAAGATGATATGTTAATTTTGAATTATGTCTGCTGCATACAAGTGCAGAGATTCTGTTGCTTACAAGGTAACGAGAAGCACTTAAGATTCATATGGTTTGGCAACACGTTGGAGGTATATATAAAGAATGGATTGACTTCTAGTACATTATCACATCGTGTAGCGAGAACAAATGACACGTGAAACCGTTATTCCTACACATGAATGACAATCAACCTTTCTTGAAAATCACATCCGTGAAACCAGTTGAATAAATTATACAGCTCTTCTTTGAACTTTTGTACTCTCTCTCTCTCTCTCTCTCTCTCTCTCTCTCTCTCTCTCTCTCTCTCTCTCTCTATTTCTTTCTATCAATATACTCTATTCGCCTTCACAAATACACATTGTATCCGTGCAGTGCATTCGCGATACTGGATTCACACTCTTCACTATTCACACACTGCAGCATCAAACGTGGACATGCACAAGCACATCAAAGCACCATCAACAGCAACAGCTGTGTTGTTAACACATTTGAGATTTCCATTAACACTTCGCTCTTTGGCAAATATGATGTGTCATGAAACAAACAATATTGATACAACAACGTCGACGCCAGATAACAATCAGTCTGAATTATCTGCTGAAACAGATTTCACAGGACGTAGAAGGCAAAATAGTCATGGAAATTATATGAATGGATCCCTGAAAATCATTGATGACACCCGGTGTCAGATATAATGTGATCGGTCGGTTTTCACAATGTCTATTCCCAAGTCACATATATTTTCACGATATATTAATTTTGTTTTTTAAACAGAAACATAGTTACAAACTCATTTAATTTAATTAAATAGTCATCTAGTTACGTTATGCCACGATACGTTGTTTTCGTCATCATAAAATCACCATGGTAAAATCACAGTGTGATCAAGTGCAGGGCAGACCAATATACACCATATGTCATCCAATCCAAGATTATGTCATCTTCCATCAACAGCTGTCAGCATATGAAAAACTATTTATAGTACAAGATAGACACAATTTTATGGATAACAACTCCTTTAATACTGTGAAAAGCGACGTTTCGGTATAGATCCTTATACCGTTGTCAAGCAAGACTGAATGAGGGAGATAGTGGAGGTGGAGGATTAACAGTAGAGGATTAACAGTAGAGGATTAACAGTAACAACAATTGCATACATGAGTGGGATAACATTGGCAGGTGTTGACAACACCTACTATATATATTCTGTTCTATGTATATCTATACCGAAACGTCGCTTTTCACAGTATTAAAGGAGTTGTTATCCATTAAATTGTGTCTATCTTGTCATCCGTCAACTTCTAAGTAATGCCTATCAAACAATGTATTTATAGTACAGTCGTATTTATACACTTCCAATATGACATTTCGCTGCTCTTAATGAGCATTGACAAGACAGTGTATGTAAGAAGCTGAACTGACCAGACACGCATTGCTGTCCTGGAGTACAGAGTTTACGAGCCACCACTCATTCCCCTGACCGGGCAAGATGGCGAGGCGTCTCTTCATCATATGACGATGTACCAATGTACTTTAACGCTAGGGGTGGTGATAATAGTATCATACGAAAGAGGGGATACTAGAGATGGTGGTAATAGTATTATTCGACAGAAGGGATTCTTTAACATTTCATTGTCCATGGCATTGTTGTCCATAAATTGTGTCTACTCATCCGTCAACTTCTAAGTAATGCCTATCAAACAATTCAATTCATTGTCGTGTCAAAATGACACCGGCCACAAGATGATTAGGCAAAAACATGACATATGGTCAAGCAATTGTCCGTCCAGGTGAAGTTGCATCTCAGGTTAACTTAGTCAAATGCAATATGATGAAATGTTCAAATATTCATTAAGTCAGCAAGCATGGCACTTAAGGAAAATATGGTTTATATACATTACATTTGTGAGAGTGGTTTACATATACTAGAATGATTTATGTATAATCCAGAATGGTTTATCTACATAAGCTAGAATCGTGTCTAGCAAACGCTAGAATTGTTTATATACAAATGTTAGAATGATCGCTATATAAAGCGAAGGGTGGTGGGTTGCTCTAGGTTCTACTACACCAAATCAGTACCAGTTTAGCCTTCAGTGCAGATCGAGAGATATCTGCAGGCTGTGATTGGAGGATATTCTGTAAGATTTTTATGTCTTTCAAATGTACATCCATCTAGTTATTAAAACTGACCATGTTTTTCTATATTTAGTACTGTATTTTTCAACATGATGACTTATGCTGAATGTGACCACAGCTATTTTCAAGTTGGTGACATTTGGTGCAAAACTGGGGGTGGTGTGTTTAGCTTCCGGTACTCGGAAAAGGAGCTGGCTAAGCTAGTCATTTTTTATTTTTTTATTGCTGCTGTAAGGCCAAACTGTGCACACACGTACAGGTAATAGCTGTTGAATGCTTAGTTATTTAAAAAAAAAATATAACGTTGCTATAGAAGTCTATGGGAAAACATTTGGTTGTGTGTAACCTCTAGTGCTTAATGCGGCTTAAATAAACACTCCGCAGTAATCTGCATCGGGGACGATAACCGATGGGAGATCGAGAGAAGCTGCGTCACTTTGTAAGCAGAACTGTCAGCTTAGGTTTAAAATGTAGTATATTTAGCAAGTCCCCGTATTAATAATCTCACCTTTCTGATAATACTTTCATGTAGTGCACAATATTCAAATTACCAGTATTCAGGTTAACGGATGAGAAAGCAGCCTCGGGAATAGTCTCTGCAGGATGACCCATAGGCCGTTTAACCATTAAATATTCCCACGCGTTACATAAAAACACAGACCGATCATTCATTGATAATTCGTAGCTGGTCAGGGAATCATTTCCGTCAGGCATACATTAAACACGATGACCATGTATGCCTCGAGGCAACAATTGTGAATGAGACATCAATGAATGATATGAACAAATTTGAACTAGAATAGACTTAAAACAATGTAACAGATGACTGGATACACAATCATATAATTTTGAATCATTATCAATTTGGAGAGAGTTTGATCGAGGGTGAAATGTGATCATTTTCGACGTTGTCAGAGTGAGTGAGTATCGTTTTACGCCGGTGTACCATCGTTCCAGCATTATGACGGAGGAGGCACAGAAATGGCTACACACGTGGTGCCCGTGTGGGGAATCGAACACGGGTTCTCGGTGTGACGAGCGAGCACTGACCAGTGAAGACCCACCTTCCGCAACCCATGCTTGCCGTAATAGGCGACTTACGGGATCCAAGGCCGTAGTTAACTTTTTTTGACAGGGGTGGGGGTGGGTGGTGGTGGGGTGTGTGTGTGTGGGTGTGGGGGTGTGGATATGTGTGTGTGGGGGGGGGGGGGGATTGCAAATATTTGTATCACTTGTCCCCAACTTGATTAAAAAAAACACTGTTTTTCTATAAAAATAATCCAGGGGGGGGGGGGGGGGGGAGCAACTGCTTCCTCCCCCATCCCCCTGTCCCCCGGCTGGCTACGGCACTGCGGGTCGGATGTTCAGGCTCGCTGACATCGTTGATGCATGTTATCGTATCCCAATTGTGTGGATTGATGCTCATGATATCAATCACTGGATTGTCTGGTCCAGACTCGATTATTTTCAGACCGTCGCATACAGCTGGGATATTGCTGAGTGCGGCGTTAAACAACAAACAAACAAACAAAGTAAGAGACTACCCCGCTCCTTACGCCGTTTGAACAGAAATAGGGGCTGTTCAGTTTATTCATTCGTCAACACGTATTATAATCAACTGACTATTACGTAAACTCGAAACAGTCTAACTATAGCATAATACGTAGTTTTCTGTAGCAGACAGTAGGAAGTGTGTGAATATCACTTACCTAATCTCCACAGTTGTAGCCTCGGAAGGAAACCCACCGCAAATGTCCTGCAATCAAATCGGAAGAATTAGTGTTGATATTGACATGCATCGCACGTGGTCACGTAATGACATTGACACCACAACGCTAACGTTATGATTACTTGGAGCGGTATGTAAATTCCTGGTTATATGTACATGTAATCGATCGCGGCGTTAATGACCCTCAACCCCCATCCAGTTGGGAAGTTGGAAGCGATCACGGGCTGGTCGCGAGATGGTTGGATCAATGCTCAACAGCTCTCCTCTCACGAACACTATAGATTACCATTGTCAATTTCAGCTGGTGTGATTGACAGCTTGTGCACAGGTAGAAACAGGCGGAAAAGACCAACTGCAGTTTTCGTCAATATCAACAATGCTCCCAGCTGAAGCGGACATGATGAATGATGAATGCATATGCTTGTTACTTGTACGATAATGTCATGCTTTGCGTATTATGTGAGAAGTGATTTTTGTTACCCAACTGAAGATTGTTGTGTTTTTTTATGGTCTGACGACGATTAGCTGTCATTAATTACCTACTCTGTGACTCATATCACAACTTTGATTTGTTTAGGTTATATCAGCTGAGGCTGTACTGTAGCGACGTGGGGCCGACATCTTGGTATTGCGTACTATAATTTGATGACGTTTATTAGAGGGATAATTAAACGTCGATAAAATGTTATTGACGACGTGTGTTTCCACACGGGGAACATGTTTCATACAACGTGCTGATGGATTACAAAGTTGCACGGGAATAAAGCGGCAAAAACTGCTTGAGCTGGAAAACGGCCTCTATAATATGCTCCTCAACCTTTGCAATGAAAATTAGTAAGCACAGTGTGTATAATGTGGTAGCACTTAATTCTACATCATCACATGTGCTTATGATAAAGTGATTCACGTGAGTTCAATTAGTGATCGGTCGTTGCCATGGCGACAAGACGTTAAAAAAATAGATGTAACGGTAACTTTCGTCACGTGACTGAAAGGCTGCGATGGGTATCATGTACAGGATGATGGGATACACGCACGCTGTATGCAGAGTTCACTGATTAATGACCTCACAAATCACTAAATCTGTTACTGTTGGAATTTTGTTGAAACAATTGTGCCAGAAAATGCCAGACTACTGAAAACAATAATTGTCTGCCACACACACACACACACACACACACACACACACACACACACACACACACACACACACACACACATACATACATACATATATGTATATAAAATATATATTCGTGCTTGTCAAAACTCCTTTATCCACACAAGATTTTTCGCCGTTCAGCGGCTCTTCAGGTGTAATGAAAACTTTAACATACATTGTAGTCCTAGGCGACGCATAACAGTATATTTGTGGCGTCATAATGCCTATGATGTAACAGTGTAATACTTATACACCTTGTGAAATCACTTTTTTATCACGAATTGTTTTACATGTTTCAGCTTTCACACACACACACACAGGTACACACACGCACGCACGCACGCACGCACGCACGCACGCACGCACGCACGCACGCACACACACACACACACACACACACAGAGAAACTACGCACACATGCCCCCTCCCCACCCCAAACCCACGCCCAGTCCTTTACATGTGTATTTTGTAACATGTTGTATTTACAACGTCCTTGACTGAGTGATGGTGCTCATACTATTGATCACTAGTTTGCCTGATCCAAACCACATCCTGCCTAGCTGCAGCATCTACGGGATGTAGCTCATGCAGTGCATGCCGTGACGCAATACTTCTTTAACTCACTCACCCAACAGGTCATCGGTCCCTGGCTACAGTCATAACTCAACATAGATATACTGGAATTCCTCTCTGTATAATTTCACTTTCATGACAGATGAAACGTGCATCTCACAAATATGAAACAGTTTAGACATTTGCAATACAATTAAGGGAGGAACACCGTCACAAGCTTTAATCTTTCTGACAGCATACACATCAATTTAACACACGGATTCACAATATCTATTGAAATCAAGTTATCATTGATCACAAGTTTCCGACAACCAAGCAGCCATTTAAGGAGTAATTGTGCAGAGTATGGGCTATTTAAATAGACATTTGCAGGAGAACGCTACTCCGCGTTACTAAAGCTCCCTCTTCGGTAACCAATTATTCGCAAGATATTTTACCTCGGGTTTGTTTAATTCTGAAAGAGAAAATTATGATAATCGAATGGAGTGATTAATACGATCAATACCGAGGTATTTGCAGGTTATTTACACATGCAAATTTTAGGCATGCTTGAATAGGTGCTCGCCTGACCCGCTGGGATCTGCTTGCGAACTCTTGCGCAATTACGGCCTCAATTTTAACCAGCGACAATCTAACGAGTTTTCTGTGTGAAAATGTCATTATGCGTCGGTTGTGATTTAAATAACAGCAATTGACCCTGCCAAGCAGCCATGCTTTATAAATCTACCACACCTGAACCCAGACATAGACAACGGCTGAGGTATGAACCCCCAAAATAGACCAGTGAATAATCTTCCAATCTAAACTTCTGAAGTGGGTGAGTGAGTGAGTGAGTTGGTTATAACGCCGCTTCGAACAGTATTCCCGTCATATTAAGGCGTGTCAACGTCATATGTGAGGAAAGCCCGAATTGATGCAGGTCTGAGACGTTTACCACTTTGGTGAAACCAACGAGTACTGACATGGAGCTAACAAACCTAACTAGAAACACAATCGGGTCGAACCGGGATTCGAACCCATACACTTCTAAACTTTGGTTTCAATGATGATATTGATCCAATTAGCAATTAAGTACATATTATAAATAATCACATGCAATGATATTGAGAAAAACATTTCCACGTCCACAAGAAATATTTGCCAAAAATAGTCGACTACATAACTCCGACAATATTATGAGAACTATGAATCACTATCAAATAGTGGCGACACCTGGCGTCCGCGAAAAGGCGAGCGCACACGCTCCACCCGCATCAAACAAGCAAAGGCAGGTCAACCGCCCACCCGGAAAAAAACAGGAACACAAGTCAAAACAGGGCACCGCACCGAACACCACCCCCGTCATCGATGCACAAAATCCGTAAACGCCACCACACGTCCACCACAACAAAACCCCGAAAGGCCCATCGAGGCCCCAACGCTCCAACCCTGATCAAACAACGAGCAAGAAATGAACAATTGTGTCAGAAATCACCGGTGGAACGCGGATCTAAGTTGACACAGATCGTTATGGAGGACGCTGCTCGTGGGCTCGAATCACTGATTATCCATGGTGTGCCAGCACTATACTCAAGAGTCATGCGATTTACAAAAGTGGTCAACGTCATGACCTGCTTCCCTTCCTCCTGAAATAAACTGAAACGCTGAACATAGGGGAAATAATATTATTCAAAATGGCGTTGAACTCGTTCACATTCAACAGACTGTTGTAGCTTTATGATGTAAACGGTTGTGTGTTCATCTTCTCTATTCATTTATAATGAATGCCAGGAAAGAGAAACAAATCTTCGACGCTTAAAACACGTTTATTGTCATGATGCAAATTCCGACGACCAATGTGAAATAGTTCCCATTGACACACAAAGTCACAAATACTGCTACCACAAGGATTGTGTTCGTAGCACGATATAGAAGTTCACTGGCAAACCTGTGGTTGACATCATGTACAACGTCCCATTCCGTCGGGGTACGATGAGGTGCTGTGCCAGACCGCACATTCCATTTAGACCCGTGAAGATTCCGGGGTAGAATAGGTCTTCAGGAACCCATACTTGCCGTAAAAGGCGACTATGCTTGTCGTGAAAGGCGACTAACGGGATCGGGTGGTCTGGCTCGCTGACTTGTTTGATACATGTCATCGATCCCAATTGCGTGAATCGATGCTCATGATGTCAATCACTGGATTGTCTGGTCCAGACTCGATTATTTACAGACCGCCGTCATATAGCTGAAATATTGCTGAGTGCGGCGTTAAACAACAAACAAACAAAAAACAAAAAACATTCCATTTTGCCTTCGCGTACGACAATCATAGCATGCTGGGGACCTGATCATGTGTTACTCGTACGTTCACCTAGTCGTTTAGTTGGGTATCCTTTGTGTGTCAAAACACACCATCAATGTCATTGCCAAGGCTATTTAACCAAAACAAGAGCGGGATAACTTTATTGTTACGTGCGGATCAATCAAACGACGCCATCTCCCCTGACGTTGGTTGACGTTGATACGAAGCACAAGCCATCAAACGCCCTAATTTACAACAAGGCACGTACATAAGAAAGCTACATATTTTGCGTTGGTATGAATGGTGAAAGAAATAACAGGATCCTGCAATATAATATTGAAAGGCAAATTGAGTTTGATTCCATCACGTTTCGTGCTTTTGTTGACGTTATTATCGTCCACAACGTATGGCCCTAAGTGATGCTTTATGTTCGGTTCGTCTATTCTTTTTCTAATGAGAGTTGATGCCGGCAAACTTTATCGTCTTGAGTTGCCATAAAGAACACATTCTCCGCTGTGTACACGTTTTATCATTAAGATCACTGGGAAAAGGCCTTAGAGTTGCTGAAACTGACAATAAATAATACAGAAAGCTGACACAGTCGCGCGTTGAAAATATGCACTCGACGCGTCAAACTATACAGCATTCAGATTTTGAAGACGATTCAATGTCCGCTTTCGCTTCTGCTGGAACATTAATCTGCCTTGGTGTAAGATCAGCTAATTATGTCGTTTCTGGGGCATTTGCTTGCGCCTTGATCAAGCAGTGACCCCCTGACGGCTGTGATTAGAGTCTGATCGTGATAAAACGCATAGCTATTTTGAGATTGAAGATTATGATTGTTGGCATGCTAATCGTCAACCTTTTTTGTAAATTATTATCTAAATTCACTCTTATGACTCTGATAATGACGTTTCTTTTTGCGAATTTGTTGTTCGATAGTCTGTTTGATGCACACGAGCCCCAGGCTATTGCTTTCAGAAGTGATTGCTGTACGAAGGTTATCAG